CTCGTTGATATAGCCTATCATCTCGGTGACATATTTTTTGACATTGGATCCTTCATCCATTTGGATCTAAAGAGCTTTTTTACTATCTAATAGTGCTTATGCCTAATATTCTCCTTAAACAAGCTCTTAAACTTTGCTATGATATTAAAGGTGCTTGTGCCTTTATGTTAGCACCTATGCTCTAACATCGTAGTAGCTAATATGATACTTTGAAAGATGATCACATCATCTCTATGTTTGAACCATGCCGTATAAGCTTCAGCTTGATCCCGAAGAGGCTAAATTGGGAGACTTGTCTCTAGTCGAGGAAGTTTATACCATTGAAGGCATAACTTTTATTAATAATAGATCGTATTGATGTGTTACCCGTCATATTGTATAATCTAATAGGATAGAATATTGTACGGTTTGGTTAATTGAATTGCATAGATAAAACAAAGCATAAATTAAGGAAGTAAAATCCATGTTCGCTATCACTATTTTCTTCAAGTTCTAGAACCTTCAATATAGGACTCCAGAAAAAGTTTTCTTTCATTTTCCTTAGTGGGTTTAGGATCTCATCCTCTAATATGCATTAATCTTGAGTTATCTCAACATGTCATATATGAAGGATTAGGTAGGTAACTCCTTACCAATTACATCCAATACAATTCTTAATCTCATTAGCATAATAACTCCTTGTCATCTCACATCTTATATGAATATCAATCTTTACCTATAAGTTTATTGGACCTTGAGTTATCTCAACAAACCCAATAACTTATTTCAAGTTGGACCTAAACAATTAAGGACATCGCATGACCCATGATTTGATTCCCTTGAGGAAGAAATGACCTTGAGTTATCTCAATAAACCAATAATAATCAAAAGGGTTCTCTCCTTATAATATTGAAAGGCAATTAACTTGATATTTAATTTAAAAGATTTAATATGATAGATTTTATCTTAGCATGCATACCAATCATCAATCACATTAACCCTATCATGTATACTAAAAATCATAAAATAAAAGTATACATCTCATGTATGACTCAAGGATCGATGAATGATAATGGATATCTACTACTAGCCCTCTCGAGCTACAAGGAGACTAGTTGGTTAAATACGTAACTGAAAAATTATTATAAAATTTTTAGTATTGTCTTCACTTCTTGGCTTCTTCTCCTTACGTCTATTCTAATATCCTATCTTTTATTTTTATATTTATTTAAATAAAAAACCCTCGAGTTACATTCGATAAAAATAAGATGAGAAGAGAAATAAAATAGAATAATAGAGAAGGCAAGTACACGTAGCCCTATTTATCTAAAAAAACTACAAACATTCATTCCCATAAACTAAGTCGACTTATTAATACTATTCGATCATGCTTCAATCACATTGATACATGGCATACTAATGAAATATATTTCATTTTAATTGTTATTATAAATCTATTTGTTGGTCATTTTATAAAATTATCAACATTTTTTAAAAATTTCAATTTTAAGAATTTTTGGGCCTTGAGCTCACTTTAGGCCCATGGGCTTTGGGCTTCGAGGACCTATAACCCGGCATACTCACATATGTCTAGCCTAGCACTAGCCTCGGGCCTAGCATGCTTACACACATCCGACCTATTGTTGGCTAGTGGCCTAGTGCACTCATTCGTGTCCGGCCTATCGCATGGTGCTTGCGCATGCTTGGCCTATTGCAAGCCTCACCCATGCACATTTTCAGCAAGCACTAGACATGTCTTGGCCTAACCTTAGGCCTTGCACATCCATAAAGTAACTATCCTACCAAGCGAGCCTAGTGTGCTTAAGGCACATCTTACGCGCAACTAGCCCGGGACATGCCTATCGCTTGCATAATACATGATTGGCCAAGCCTATCACGTGTCTAGTGCACAAGCAGACTAGCCCTATCACACTTCCAAGTGTACAACCAGCTAGTGTTCTTGTTGCACACGTGAACGCCAATGTCTAACATTAGCCTTATGCACCTTACTCTTTTAAAGCCCAAATTTTAGTTTTAAAGCATATATAAAATACTATAACATAAGATTTAAAATCAAGAATTGATAATTCATGCAGTTAATTATAATTACCAAAGCATATAATCAAAGATTCAATAAATGATTTAATACTAATTGAAGGATCATGCATCTTATGGAGATGAAGAATAAAAAAAAAAAGTTTCCTCCATCTAAGGCTCCCAAGATTATGTCGCTGAATAAACTAATCATGCATATATGAATTAAAGCGAAGTAAAGGATTACCTCTTTTAATATAGATTTAACCTTAGTAAAAAAAAGAGTCATCCAAGTGTCCAACCTCTATCAATAATCTACGCATTCCAAACAACTACATAAGAAGCACTCAAAAGTAGTAGAGTGTTAGCTCCACCTTTTTTTCCGACTTGTTTAGTGTTTTTTATTTAGAAATCTATTCAAGGATAGTTTACAACAACTCTAAGAAAGAAGGAGAGAGGTGACGTGTGCAAGGGAAGACAAAACTATTTTTTCTTTAATTGTACTCTAGCCATATATGCCTTAGGAATAATTCTCTTTCTCGTACCTCCCCTTATATTTATAAGGAGAGTGTCTTCCTTGTCCTCCAAGGATAAGAAAATGGTGGCATTAAATCCTAAAAGGACTTTTTTTTGTTACTTCCTAATCATTCAAGGATCGGGAGTTATTATGTATAGAAGCTTTTTGAACATATATTTTTTTTAAACCTTCATCCTTATCTAATAAGAATCATGCTTATCCTCCTATCAAAATATCTTGTAGGTTTTTAAATTAAACCTATTGGCCCAAACTCTTTTAACCCAATTAATTTGGACTATCCAAATAAATTAGTTTAGATATTTTTAAGAGGTCCATGTTAAGAAATAATTTTTTAAATTACCCTTAAACTTAAATTAGGAAAATAATTTTCTTTTTAAGTAACTTACTTCCAAATTTGAAACCAACTTCCAAATTAGAAAACTTTCCAATCTTTCTATTTTAGAAAACTTTTAAAATTAGAAAACTTTTCCAAAATCTTTGCTTCTCTTTTATTTTATAAATGCTTCAACTTATGCATGTCACTTAATGGGGTCCTAGATATATTGTCAATGTATCAAGAATAAAAGATAACTCTTTTATCTCTACATGCATAAATCAAGTTTGACGTCTAGCAAGGTATCATGACTACTCAATTTTTTAGATTAATTAATCCGCAATTACCTTTCACGAGCATGGTTACCATACAATTCAGATCCTTATATCAATTTATCATAGTGTGATCTTAAACTTGGTTATTAGTCCGGTTGATTATGATCACATAAATTTTCTTCGATTCTCAAATATCTTAGCTCTTAGGGTAAATCAATTATACTCTATTGGTGTATTGTAAAGCAACGTTAGGAGCGAAGGAGACGAATTTGGGAAAAATGGAAAAAGGTCAAAAAATGACTAAAGTCACCACCTAGTATGACGGTTACTAGAAAACTCTATGATTAATCTATTCGAATTCTAGATAAAGGGTTTATTACATGTAGGAAAGATTAAAAATTACCTTACCCTATCTTGGCTAAGGTAAGTCTGTATTGTATATAATAGTAATTCGATTTTTGATTTTTTAAATTATGAAAAACCCTCCGGTCGAGTGATTTGGGATTTGATCAATCGGAGATCTTGTCCTCACTCTATAATGGATGGCTAAAAAAATGATGAATGTAAGGATAAATAGCGTGCATGAAAATAAAAAAATAAGCAAATGGGCAAACAAACAAAATAGGTAGGTCAACAAAAATGGAAAAATAGGCGGATAGGCAAAATAGATGACATTGGCAAGTGGACAAAAATTAACAAATAGGCAAAAATAGGTAAGCTTGGTAAAGTGGGTAAACAAGCAAATAATGGCAAAATTAGCAACACCGACAAAAATCGACAATTGGACAAAAATAGGGGTAAAAATTGGCAATTAGGCAAAAATTGACAATTTGGGCAAAAATAGGCAAAAAATCGATAAGTTGGGCAAAAATAGGTAAAAATCGACAATTTAGGCAATCATATGCAAAAATTGATAATTTACGAAAAATAAAACAAAAATCGACAATTTAGACAATCATAGGCAAAAATCGACAATTTAAGCAATCATAGGCAAAAATCAACAACTTAGGCAAATATAGACAAAAATCGACAAACTTAAGCAATATAGGCAAAAATCGACGAAAATTGACAATTGGACTAAAATTGACAAAAAAAAATCAATGAAATTAGTTGTTTTGACGTACATAATTGATTATGTTTGACGAAAATTAATTTACATAAAGAAAGTCCAAACTTGCTTGATTTGACGTTGTGTTTTTTTTAATAATATTACCATACAATACCCACTTTAAAAATATATATTCCAAATAACAGCAAGTATTCAAATGTTCAAACCAACACATCATTCATCAAATTACAAACGTAACAACAATGCGCATCACCACAATTTGAATAAACCACTCATGAACGATAAATTTAATTAATTACACAATATAATCAATTAATGATTATAAGTACATAATGATATGAATCACATATAATACATGTTGAAATAAAATAAAATCAAAAGTGAAAAAAAGATTATTGTAAAAACAAAAAATTGATCGGTCCGTTGAATTCGAAATCACTTAACTCTCTTTTCAACTCCGATGAAAATTGATATTCGATCAATCGTAGAGGAAAGATGACCAAGAGTAGTGGTCGTCGATTTAGAGTGGTCGGCGATGGGTATTAGACGACGATCAAATGTGGAGTGGCCTCTAGGGATTACTCGCTATGTACTAGTGGTCGCTAGTTGGCATGCGAGGGTGTGGCGTTGGCGGACACGTAGACATGCTAGCGTTGGTAAAGCGTAGGGCCTGGGCGCCGAAAGGAATGCATGTCGGCATATAGACACCGACGGATGTGCCGCTTCGGGCGTTGGCATGTTGTGTGTGCGGGGAGAGGCCCGGCGCGAGGCTGGTTTGGCATGGGTGAAGTGCTAAGCGTGTGCTTGGGGCATGAGCAAGCAAGCGGGCAAGGAGCCGGAGACGTGCGTGCATGCCGTATCCGACACTGGGGCGTACGTGCGTGCTAGCTTAGAGGAGGTATGCGCGAGCATTGGGAATGCACTACTAGCATGGTGTGCTATGGCTCGGAGGGCGCCGTGTGTGTGAGTAGAGGGTGTGGGAGGCTATTGGCATAATGTGCTATGGCTAGAGGGCCGCATGTGAGAGAGAAAGAGGCGGTAGTCGTGTATGGGTCGGTGTGTGGAGGTCGGCGACTAGGGTAAGTTTTGGAAGATGGTGAATAGTAGCTACCTTTTTTGCAAGAAAATGGGCTTTTATATTGGGTTTTTAGGGTTTTTGGCTAAATTTTGGTTTAGTCCTTCATTTCGCAAACTCATTTTATTTTGATCCTTCTCTTTTTTTTTTAATTGCACCCCTAATTGTATTTTTAATCCCTTTTCCTTTTTTTCTCTTTTTTTATTTGTCGCTCTTCTTTTTTCTCTTTCTCTTTTTTTTTTTGGAAAAAAATTGGGTGTTAACATGATGTAATCCTACTATGGTCATAAATTTCTCAAGTAGATATTTATCGAAGTACAATGTGATAACTCATTTAGCATACAAGGAGTGACATATCCTATCTTATTAATCCATCTATCTCCATTAGATTCTTAGTGCACCTAACAAATTACCCATATGCAACTCTTTACTAGACTCATCAAAATGAGTGTCAAAGTATATAAATCATCTAATGAGATAATCGTGATGACTTCAAGTCAAAAACTAGTTGTACACATCTCGTATGAGATTGTCATAGGCTAAACCAAATAGGTTCTCATGATGAGTCAAGTCCAATGATAAGTTCTCTAACATAAATCACTTAGTGCTTGCTTTGACATTTACATGTCAATAGGTGTAAGATCTCTTACTTTTATTTTATAGCATGACTATAGTACTCACAAGTCTAACCATATATAATCAATATTCATTCTTAATAATGCTAGTACTTGGGACATTTAATGGTATAATTTAAATGCATTAATATTTGCCTCATATCTTTAAATCAATCATTAATGTAAATGCATATCATATGGACTTCTATTTAATTTTATTTAATAAATAATTATGAACAATAAGAATTAATAGAAAGATTTTTTTTTATTGTTAATAAAATAAATAATACAATGTTGTAATAGCTCAAATCATCCAATCAAGGTTAGATCTTAAGCACCTACACCGATAAAGAATATGAGATAGTTTAAGCATGCATTTTGGTATGGGTAAAGTTATGGAATCAATGTTAAAGAGATCATTTCCTTTACTATCTTTTACTTGTAATCGATCAATACCACCATGAGGATCAAGTGGGGTCATACCTATGAAGTTAGAAGTGACATGATGAGTGCCAACAGTACTTGAAAACCATTGAGTAGGAGGAACTAAATTGGTGGAAATGGTGTTCAAGACCATATTGGCTAATGGTGGGAAAGGTTATTCATAAAATTGGAAACATGATTGAGTAGTGTGTTTCCATCCATTATATAGTTGTCGGTGTATGTTGTAAGTAAGTAGAGAATTAGTCCATTGAGATTGATTCCAAAGACCAATTTGAGGCGAGCTAGTTGGTTGATGAGTAGATAAACCACCTATATTTCTCTAATGTCTACGATTATAAAACTAGCCCTCTTCTTTCTATGTTGCGACCATGTAAGGGATTAGTCCATCGAGATTGATTCCATGGACCAATTTGAGGTGAATTGGTTGGTTGATGTGTAAAGGAACCATTTTTAACTCTCTAATGCCTATGATTGTAACCCCTATTACCTTAGAAAGAAGAGGACTAATTCTCGCTAATTGGAAAATTACTCTCGAGGCTATTGTTTTCATGGGAAAGCAGTGGTTAGATAGGCCTAGATATGAGTAGGAGTACCGGGACTAGAGGATAAAATCAATCGATGAAAAACTTCTCGATTGAAAAACTTATAACTCAACAAAAGACTATTTAATTTGGTAAAGGAAATGATTTCGACGCTATCCGATAGTATGGTCATAAGGTCTTTGAATTCTCTATGTAATCCCTTAAAAACATAAAGATTGAAATCTAAGAGAAAGGTCTACCAACAACAACTAATTCATCATTAATTTATTTTGCTATTTACAAATAAACAAATATTAAACCATCATTCTATTTGAGTTCTTGTATTGACATGTAATATGGCATAATTTGAATATATGAGATGCAGACGGTAAAATGTGTTCTAAAGTAAACTAAATACTATAGAGGAAGTACAATCAACAATTAAATAAAATACCTCAAAAGATAATAAGCCAATAAGGGTACTCATCAACAAATGATCTTGTTAAGTCTAGGCCAAAAAAAAAAAAAGGTTAGATTTAGTTGCAGAAGAGGTCATTGTCACTTAGTTGACGACATGGTGGATATTGCTCAAATCCATTAATGGAACCAAATAACTTTTGACCTTGTAAAAAAGGTTTCATGTAAAGTTTTCAATACAAATAATTTATTGCATTTAATTTTAACAAGACATAATGATGGACATTTACAAAAGAATGGTGTGAGCGAGATAAGAGAAGATATTGTTGCTTCAAAACTAGCATAAAAGTTGTCTGTCTTGAGAATCTATCCATGTAATGTTGTTAGTGCAGTATGATGTTAGTGCAGTATGATTGGAGGTATTAGATTGATCAGCTTTTAAGAGGCAATTTCATAATTATTCTAATACCAAGTTGAGAGAAATAAACAAATAAGAAAATACAAAGATACTATTAAGATCTGTATGCTCTCTATAATGGTATCGTATTGTATCTATATTTAGGGTTCTATATAATATAGAAAAAATCACAATACCTTATAATAGAGAAAATATAAGCAACATTATAAAAAATTATAATATATAATATAGAAAAATACTTACAGTTTAATAGATGTAACTAATACCTTTCACATCAGCAAATTTTTAAATAATTGAAAGACAAATGGATCTAGTTGTCTAAGTGTAACAAACATACAGCCGAATTACTAAATTATTTACAAAGGATATAATTTGTCAATTTAATATAAACATACGATCTCAAAATCGGTTTTTGTCATTTATATTTTAGTTAATGAAAATTCATTGCATCGTGAATGAGCTATAGCTCAACTAATATAAGCATATCTCATCTTTCAAAAAAAATATCCATTTCAAATCATTTTTCAAAAAAAAAATAATAATAATAATAAATAAAGAAAGAATTCACCGTATTCGCGGTGAGTCGGTGACTTGCAGTTATTACACTCCTCATGGCTGTAAAAGAAATTTTTTAAATCACAGCTGAAAAACATTTTATTTAAGAAACATAGGGCTAGCCTGGCGCTGGGCACAAGCAACCAAAAGAGTACCCATGCAGTATTAATTTGCTCACAGAAGAAAGCAATTTTAGAGCCAGCAAGAACCTGCACATCTAAGGTCAATCACCAGCAAAGGACGCCATAATTAAATGTGTGGTCAACATCATAGTTGCCCTTTGCGTTAATTCCAAAAGATCAGTAATGCCAAATTTAACTTTGCGCGGTATGATAGGAAAACAAAATGATTGAGCTGTAAAACATGAAATCATGAATGAAACTTCTATTAATCTAACATTTTACTAAATTTATAATTTATCACTTATTATATTATTGTACATTGACTATCAAAACTGGTTTTTTTTTTTATCTAAATTAAATAAAAAAATATAATTTAGGCAATTAAAATAATACCTAAATTTTATTTTATATCTTTATACAAAAATATTGTGAAATACTTTAATGTAATCAAGGAAAAACCTCTAAAATTGTCCATGTGTTTGTATGGTCTCAATCAGGGAAATAGGTTCGGGTAAATTTTTGCTTTGTATCCGCAAAATTTAGTCTATTGAACGCAATGAGACTAAGTTGCAAATATATTATTTTAAAAGGTTTAGGAAATAAAAAAAATAATATTTCCAAAACTATAAACTTTTCAAAATTTTATTATGCAATAAGAAATTTTTAAAATACTTAGTCATTACATTTTTTTTTTTTTGAAAAAAGCTTAAGATGTAATATTTTTTTAATTCTTTTGAAATAACATATATATTTTTAAAAATCTTCAAGAAATTAAAAAGTCAAATTGAAAAGCTTCAACCTAAAATATCTGAAATTGCTCAACCATTAAATATTAAGAAAAAAAATCAAATTACAATTTTTTAGGGAAAAAAATTAATGTCAATTATTATTATTTCTATTAAACATTAAAAAATCTGAATTTTTATATTAATTTTTTTATTTCTTAAACATTTTCCACAATTGGTAGTAAACTTACAATTTAGTGCAAGTTATTCTGATTCTGTCAAATTGACGAAATCTTGCAATGACAAGTTACAATGGTGGTGGGTTTTCCATTTCATCAAATCTATAAAGCTGTTTCCTTTTACATGGAATGTTAATTACCTTGTTTGATTACTACCATAGAATATAAATAGTTTGATGTCTTTCATGTTGTCGCAGACCTAATGAAAAATACGTTTAAGTTTTTTTTTTTTTTTTTTTTTTTTTTTTTTTTTTTTTGCCTCTAAATGAAATATGTTAAAATTCAAATAAATCAAAATTAAATTCTATAAACATTGACATGTTCAAATAAAACAATCCATTGTATATTAAAAAATTAATTGCCTTTAGGAGCTATTTGATTACTAGAAATAAAATGGTGGAAATGAGAATGAAAGTTTTATTCTCATCTTATAGTTGTTTGGTTGAAAGAAATAAAATGAAAATAAAATAAAAATAAAAATTGAAAATGGGAATGAAAATTAAATATAGTTTCATTTCCATGTGAAAAGTGAGAATAAAAGTAAAAAATAAGAATGCCTTTTTTTTTAAAATAATAACATATTATTTTTATTTATTGTTTGTCTACTATCACCACTACCTCATCGATGATGGTGATATATTATTATTATTATTATTACACTTACTACCACCACCACCATTTTCTCTATTGGCAATGGTAATAATTTTTTTAAAAAAAATATTATTTTTATTATTATTATGTCATCACTTTTTTTTAATCACCAACATCATTTTTATTATACTACCATTACCACTATTGACAATGCCGATAAAAAAATATTATTATTATTCCGTCATCACTTTTCCACTACAATC